TGACCTCTGTCATCATTTTAAGTGGGGGAACTTGCACAATCAGTGGCTGACTAAATACTTTTTTGCCCCACTGTAATTTCCTTTGGGATTATTAAGGTGTTCTGATTCTGATACGCACTTGCTGGCACAACTCACAGCTAATGAATTAGTAACATTACTGGATGTAAAAAGAGCCTCATGGAGAAGATAAGCCATTTACAAGTAAAGCCAGGGAGTTCACTTCTCTTTGAAAAATTGCATGTGCAACTGGATAAACTATTTGAGATTAACAATGCCTGATATAAAGTTGCAAAGAATTCGGAGATCTCATCATCTGCAGTACATAAACTAATTAAAAGATTCAGAGGATCTGGAGGAGATCTCTGATCACATGGGACAAGGACAAAAACCTGTTTTGAATGATCTTTGAGGCTGTAGATTATTTAAAAATATACAATTGTTTAGTGGAAATCTCTTTATGGCATTAGGCACACACTTTATAGCTAAACTACTCTGCCAAAAATAATCCAAAATCTACATAAATATAGTGCCTAACTTGGACCCAAGTTTATGGGTTCATTTATACAGAGATAGAGAGAGAAGGAAAAATCTTGTCTGCAGTCTTAGAAATCAGGTTTTGATGTTGTTTAGTGCACCACTTAGTTTGAACCACTCAGTCTTGTTTTTCTTTTTCTTGTTTTTCTTTCTTTCTTTCTTTCTTTCTTTCTTTCTTTCTTTCTTTCTTTCTTTCTTTCTTTCTTTCTTTCTTTCTTTCTTTTTTTAAAGAAGAAGTCTTTCTCATTTCAACAATATAATACTAAAATACACTCTGCATGCATTTTAGCGGTATGAATCTGTAGCAAGGTGTTAAGCTGGTCTGCCCAAAGTGCCCACACAAGTGACCTACTGAATATATTGAGTATATTATGACACAAAAACTCCTATAAAGGAGGTGCGAAACCTTTTATTTGCCTTCATAACTGCAGCAATTTCCCCCCTGAGTTCACACATGCTTACAGCCTGTTGTTAAGAGGTGATGCAACACCATGGTAACAGGTGCCTGTCAAGTTTCTTCTTTCTTTTTTTTTCTCTTTTTTTGTTGCAGTCCATTCCATCAAATTAAATCTGAGCACATATTTAGTTAAATGCCTGCATCCTGTTTTTCTTTTTCCTAAATTAGGTTTTAGAAACTTTACCATATTCATTACCATTGCTTGACATTTGAAATGCTCTTCACATTTAATGAGAGCAGCAGACGGCCTTCAGCCCATATAAAGATTCCCCTTCTGCTTTAAGTAAATATATGCAAGAAAGAATGCATCGCTTTACTAAACCCTCACATTCTTGACTAAACCCACTCAGTATTTGCTAGCACAGTAGCCAATGATGTTATAGTCACATAACATAAATGGTAACCTCATCATCTTGCAGAAATTCTTTTAAAAAAATCCAAATGCATCCACCCATTCAGTGGAACGTGTTGTAACAGCTGTGATATACATCTGTTTTATCGCTGTTTAATATGGTGTAGCCGTTCCATGTCTGAACCTTTGATGCAGTTCTTTTGTTGATGTTTTGACTGCAGGAGTCCACCTGGATTTACCTGTTTTCCTTCCTTGCGTTGCCCGCAATGCTGCAGCTGTGTGTGCTGCCCTTCCTCCCTGAGAGTCCTCGCTACCTGCTGATGGAGAGGAGGGATGAGGCTGGAGCGGAAAAAGGTATTCCATAAACAACACTTAAGAACATCTGCAAAATGCAGTCCGGCTGACACAAGAGGCTTTGGTGTCTCATTGTGGTTATTATGTTTGAAAACTCTGCTGTTGCTCTTTACAACAACTACTACACATTACCACTCTTTTAGAGTTAGAAAAAATGTCTTAAGAAGTAAGACTGTCACTGTCACTCAGGTGACTGGAGTATATCTGCAGGGACCAGACAGAGTTTTTTAGTGAAACAGAAGTTCATGATTGCTTTCCCACTGGTGAGATTTGTGGCTTTTAGAGTGTTTTATGCTGTTTTCAGCTATTTCAGTGTACAGAAGACTAGCTACACAATTTTCACAAGTGAAAGTTTTGCTTTATATAAATACTTCAGCTTTTAATACTGGCCAAGGTTTTAAGAGGACCAAATCAGAGAGTGAATTCTTGAATTCTTCACTTTTAAATGTAAAAATGTATATTCTTAAATACAGCTTTCAAATAGTAAATTAAAGACTGAGAGATGGCTTCACATCTTTATTTATGATTGTAAAGCAGTTTCAAAAAAGAAGTGCATTGGTAATGTGAGTTAAATAAACTGTGACTCTCAGTGGTTTTAATTCTACACATAATTGTTTTTTATTTATTTTTTTCACAGCAGACATTTTGACATGCTACATTTGGAATTTATGGCAGCCATTATTAATATAACTGTTTTTTTCTTATATAATAAGTGATAAAGCTGGGTGTGTGAAAAGTCTTTTAGTTACCTTTTTTAACTGACTTAAACCAGTTAAAAAACCATAAAATCTAAAATCTGTTTTAATATTCAGTCATATATTACTATACCAATTCCAAAAAGGTTGGGATGCTGTACAAAATGGAAATAGAAACAGAATGAAATGCAAATTTCATAAACCAGTATTTTATTTTTAATTTCTTTTTCATGTTTTAATAGTGAGAGCTTGTATTTCAAAAAAAATATTAGCAGACACGGGAGAAAAAAAAATCCTAGGATCAACTATAAAAACAATGACATGAGACAATGGCATGAAACTGAACAGGAACGTGCAAAACGTAAACGAGAAATAATCAAAACATGAGCATAAACCTGAACAGTATTAAGAAAAGCTGTGACTTGCTGTGACTTGACGCAAAGTAAACAGATGAAGACAGAAGACTTAAATACACAGAAGGGTAATGATGGAAGTGGAAACACCTGGGGAAACACAGCTGACACGAATGAACATGACGCCACAGGGGAAGTAAAACTAAACACACTGAAAATGGAAACACCAGTCTCTTCAAAGTAAAACAGGAAACATAATTGAATGTAGAGATGAGAACACAAGCTTGACAATAGAACATGGAAACACGCACACACGACAGACTGGGGAGACACAGAACACAAGGAGAGACGTGGGAACAGATAAGGGAGATGAAAGCAAGGGTATAACTCAGCGTTAAACATAGAGGACAAGACAGATGTACACAGAAGACAGGAAACGACTCATAAACATGGAGACATGGATGAAACATAAGAAAAAAGAAAAGCTAGAAAAAAAACTCAACTAAACCCTAACTGAATAATAACACAAGAAGTTAACATTATTGCAGTCTAACATAAGAAAATCAAGAATACAAAATAAACTCAAAATGTTGGATCACAAATTCAGCCCCTGACAATAATATTCCTTAAAATCATGGATACTTGGAATATTTAGTTATCTACAGTACATATCATCAAAAGATTCCAGGACTTGAGAGACGTACACAAAGGACAAGACTGAAGAGCTGTGAATTTCACGGCCTCGGGCAGCACTGCGTTAAGAACAGGCATGATTCTGTAATGGGCTCAGAAATACTTCCAGGAACCAATGTCTGTAACCACAGTTCACCATGTCATCTACAATAGCAGGGTAAAGCTCTATCAGGAAGAACAAAGCCACATTATGAACATGATCCTGTCATGTGATGAGGAACAAGCACCCAAACACAGACTCAGAGGGCAGGAAAGGTGTCAAATAAAGTGCTTCTTTAATAATAACCATTGAAGTGAGTCCAGTATAACAGGGCGTGTATACAGGCAGTCTGACAAAAGGAAAATGGAGACTGGGACTACATATACACACAAAGACACTGAGGTTTAATCAAGGGAAGAGGAAACAGGAGAGGAACAAGGAAGAACTGAAACTAATTAAGCCCAGTGATTCAAAGGAAGTAAAACAAAATACAAACCACAGGCAACTGGGAATTACAAAATAAAATAGGTAAGTAAGTAACTCCACTGGAAAACACAAATTGACAGGGACTTAACAAGAAAACACTAAGGAACCTAGAGTGATACATACACTAAAATCATGGCACAGTACACTGAACCGAAAACAGAATAACAACTCTCACAGCAATCAAAATGAAAGAATAACAGAAACCACAAAACTCAACCCTCAATAGTAATAAAAACTGAAGGGCAAGAGGATAGGATAGCAATGAGAGGCAAACTAAAACAAATCTTAACAACCAGAAAACTCAAAATAACCAAACTCCCACACCATGACAGATACCCTTTCTTCTCTGGGCCAAAGCTCATTTAAATTGGATTGAGGCAACGTGTAAAACTGTTCTGTGTTTAAACACATCAAAATTTTAAATTGGTTTTGGAAAACATGAACACCACACCTCTGGACTACCGAGGAGAAAAATTGTCCAAGAGTTCAAAAGCCTGCATCTCTGATGGCATATGGGTGCACTAGTGCCTGTGCATAGATAGCATGTATATCTAGATACTGCATATTTCTGCAAGACAATGTAAAACTACAAACAGCATGGCTTTGCACTGAACTAACCTGCAGTCCAGACATTTCACCAGTCGAAAACATTTGTTGCCACAAAATGGAAAATCTGACAAAGAAGGCCCAAGACTACTGAGCATCTAGAATCCCATATTACACAAGAATGGGAGAGCATTCCTCTCCTGAAAGTCCATCCTCTTTTAATTGAGTAATTCAGTTCCCTAGTTACTCAATTAAAATTCTGGTTTTCTATTTTACAAATCTTTTTCTTTGATACCTCACAAATCATTGATTGGAGGTATAAATGTCTTGTACAATCTTTTGTTTTTTTTAATATTCTGTTTCAAATGCACTGATTCAGTGCCTTTAAACCACAGTAAGCTGCAGCTGCCAGAGAGGCAGAGAGATACTCATCTTTCTGACCTCAAACAAAGGAAAGAAATGAGGAGATGGTCTTTCGCATATTTATTTGGCTCTTATGACACAATAGGGGAAATAAAAAGTTGCTCTTGAATTTTATGTCCCAGTTAAGAGTTTTATCTATTCAAACTCTGTTTTGAAACTGCATAGACCCTTAACCTTTAATTTGCAGCTACATTTTCACAGAAATGTTTCATTTGAAACAAATGGAAATGAAAATTATTCATTACTTTTTAATCATGTCTTTTTAGTATTCTGTTTTTGAAAATGTTTTCAAATCACCTATTTTTTACTTTTTTGGTATTCCGATTGCACAGCTGCGAAAGGCAGTAAATATCAGAAAAAAACTGCAAAAATCAGCTGCTTTTTATGAAGCATGAGAAATACATACATTATTTATTGCAACAATCTTTGCACAGTTGTGTTACATTTCCCCTTAGACCTTACTCAAACAATAATTTATTCTCACTGACCACAACCTTTTCCAACAATTTGTTTTGTTGTACCTTACCTATACATTGGCCATAGTAAAAGGTTACAGGTGCAAAATTATAAAAAGTTTTCATAACTATTACAAATATTTCAAGCTTCAAAAAAAGAATATGATATAAATGCTGTGACATGAAAAGGCACAGCATGGATTAAAGGCATACGTAGCTCAAACTGCATGTGTCAATGAAGTATAAAGAAAAATGTAATTTCAAACAAAACTTTAATGAATTTGGTCTCTGGGGTGGTTTGAGCTGTTTCATGCCCGCGTCCATACATTATAGATTGGTAATCTCTGAAGGTTTGGTGGCTTACAGTTTATTCTTTGTAAAATTGAACATGATCTTTGATTCTTTTGAACATGTTGTGCATGAAGGTCTCAGAGGACAAAGCAGTATTTATGATGATGGTGTCACATGAGAAAATTAATGATCAAAAATACAATTAAATGGAATAAACAGATTTATTATGCAGCAATAGACATGTTACCAAATAGTAGTGATAATAATAATTGGTTGGTCTTATGGGCTTCTTTGAAAACACATTCTAGTTCTGCGATGTCTTTTTTCTGCACACTTTAAGTGAAAATTCAAGGAGAGTACCCTTACCTCTCATGATGGAACACTGTTTGTTTAGCTCTGGTTTTGCCATCTGTCTTTTGTTGCTGCTTCCTTTGTGTAATAAATTCCTACCTTGAGTATTTCCAGCAAGTTAGAACCAAAGAAATGTGTTTTTGTTGCTTTTATCTTACAAAAAAGACAAAAAGATAGTTGAACAAGTCCAGAAACCAACTGCAGAAAAGCATGATGTTATAAATTTAAAGTTTCTAAATCTTTTATTTATATAATTCTGTCTTACTTTTTTATTACAATTGGATTAAAACAGTGTGCCTCCAGTGGTGTAGTGGTTAACACATTTGCTTGGCAAGGAAAGGGTTGCTGGTTTTAATCCCAGCTGGAGACTCAAATCCTCTTTAGGGCTTTTTCAGGAAGAGCAGCTAGTGCATAACAACTAGTGCAAGCCCTACCGGCTGTCATCACCCCTTGTGGCAAGGGTGAAGCCGGAAGCAGCTTTTTCATACTAACATTAAAGAACTGACGAAGCGATGAAGGGTTGGGTAAAGACTTCCTGCTTTCTTATTGTCTCTACAAGTGCCCTTCATGGGCATATGACTTTAATTTAACACACAATGCTTTCCCCAACAAATGATCTCCTTAGTTACTGAGTGATATTACTAAAACTTACAATATCTGACTTTTTAGGGAAACTGATGGGCCTCGTAGACGAGTGTTGTTGTTTTATTTAGTGAAGTAAAATGCAACCAGTGCAATGCTTGCAGAACTTCTACTCACAGATAATTTACAATTTAAAGGTATCACAGAGAGGTGAGCTATGCATTGCTTCTTTTAAGCATTTTTGTAGGTCGCCTCATGGTCGAACAGTGGTTAGTACGGTTGCCTCACAGTAAGGTCAGTTGGTCAGCTCCACCATCCAGCCAGGGTCTGTCGAGTATGCATGTTCTCTCCAGGTACTCTGGGTTCCTCCCAAAGTCCAAAGATGATGATTCTAAATGGTTCCCTGTCTCTATGTGTTAGTCGTGTGACAGATTGGTGACCTGTCCAGGGTGTACCTTGCCACTTGCCCTAAGACAGCTGGGAGAGGCTCCAGCTCCCCTGTGACCCTGATTTGGATAAGTGGAAGAGAATGGATGTTGACAACAGGCAGAGACACAGAATACAGCAGCATCAACCTTTAAATTCTGGCAGCTGTATCCTAACACACACAACATTTTACTTTACCTTGAGACTAACTTTAAATATTCTGTTTCACACTTGTCTCCATGACGATTTTATTGCCAGTGTAAAACTGCAGAACCGACAAGCCCATCATGGTTCTTTAAAGCTCCTTTGTTGCACCACATCCCTCCACCTTGTGGCACTGTGAGTCTTTGGTCACAACAGTGACACAGAGTGGAGCCCTGCAGTTCTCAGTAACACAGGATGGCTGCATGGGGACAGTGACACTGTTGAACAACTCACCTTACTCCAACAGATATCGATATCAAGTCACACCTACTCGGATAGCAGCGAGTGGTGTTTAATGCTCTATCTATATTAGAATTACATGAAGTTAGATTGATAACACTGATCATTTCAGCTTGTTGGTTCTTTTCTCTCCCTTTCTAAACTTTGTTTCAGAGATCACACCATTGTAGTTAATGGATTTTAGATTTTGGGCTTCCATGTAAACTGCTGGGAATATCTTTTTATGTTTAGCTGTCAACTGGGCTGTCGATAGGTGAGTTAAGTAACTATATTATGCTATGTTTTAGTATCATAATTTCTCACTGGAGTTTCATATATCTGTATTCTGCACTGATATAACACAACCTGCACTTTTGGGGACAGAATGTCCTCTCTCTTTTTTCCCTCTCACCCTTTTCTCTTTATTATATCAGTATCAAAATCCTAACTGGCCTTCTTTTGCTTGATTATTTGGTTTAGCAGAGATACACGTATTTTTACTTTAAATGCTTCCCCTTTCCTGCCTCAGAAATCATGGCCCAGCCTTTACTGTGACACTGGCCGACTCCATCTTGTGTGGGCAGCGTCTGCACCGCGTGTCATTTCATTTCCACATCCTAATGACCTGCTTTTAGTCCTTGACTGTAGAGATTTGCTCCCGTGGACTGTGTCCTAAACTCGTGCCTAGTTGACCTGCCCTCAACTCCAGGGATTAACCTTCACAAGAGAAGGGCTCAAAGTGAGAAAAGAGTCTTTCCATCCACTTATTCTTTGCCATCTATTGCATCCAAGAAGGCACGAGTTCAAACAACCTTCAAATGGCCGAGCTAAAAATAACAAAAAACGGTTAGCAGTTGTCTCTCCTTGAATAAAAAAGGTGTGGTGATTTCTGCTTCATTCTGACACAAAGAAAAGACATTAAACTTACTTAAATGTAAATAATCTGTCTTGTATTGGGTCGATATTATATAACAAATGCATAAACTTGTTAGGCAGTACGTAGGACATCGACATCTAGTCACAGATGATATGTGTTTCTAAAATCTATTTGTGGCAATTAAAAAGAACATCTCACCTATTTTACATTCAGCAGAGGTCAAAATAATGTGATAGATACTTAAATCACTAAAGCCAACAAACAAAGAGGTCTGAGAGTCATCTGCATTGCAGCAGAGTGTATTATTATGCTGATGAATTATGTATCCCAGAAAAAGCATTGAAACAGGGAAAATGTGGCCTGTAGATATAACAAATCTTTAGATTTTAAACGAGCAAAATATGTTTTCCATCTTGAATGCATTTTCTTCATGCTGTTATCCAAGTCAGTTTTTCAAATATTATATTTTGTATTACATTTTTTTCACAATATATAAATAAAACAGGGACCAATCATTAAAAAAACTGAAAAATGACACACGGGACTCTGTCCTGTAATGTAACAGCTCCATAGGTTTGTGTTGTTGTGGCCAGTTTTAATTATTTTAGCTTCCAAATCTAATTACTGCCACACCCATGAGACCCGTCCACCATTGTTATGAAGAAGATGCTGGTCACAGGAGCTAAAAGGAATGGCAGGAAATTGAAAATGATTTGTTGTCACCATGGCTGTATAATTTAATGGCAAAGAAAGGCAAATGAGTTTATGTAAACCTGCTTGTACCGTCAGCAAAAAGAGAACGACATATCTATTAACATAGTTACTTAACCTGTGATTTTCAATTGATTCAAGCCATAGAAATGTGACGCAACTATCATTCTCTATGGGAAGAATTGAAGTTGTCACATGAGTCAACAATAATTATTGTTGACTTTTAGAATTTTGTGGTGAAAAAATTCTAATTCTACTGTATTGGTGACATTTAGGTTTATTAGGTATTATTACAAGTATGTGGAGATTCTAAATGCCACATATCTGGATACATGCTCAATCATCCAGCTACGTAAATCCCAAAAGGTTGATTCTGTTCATTTGGATGTAGCGTTTTCAATGGGAGACACGTTTCATCTTTTGTCACCTTATAAACAGTACATTTGCATAATAACTGAAACCAGCCCACTGGATGAACACTGGGCTGTGAGGTCAGTTCTCTGTACTGTTTATAAGGTTGGCGAAACCTGCAGTCAGCTGAGACTGAAGAAGTCAATTGGATGAGTGCGTAGCGTTTCTCCCATTCGAAACGCTACGTCCAGATGAACAGAATCAACCTTTTCGGGTAAATGCCACATAGTTTGCATCCAAATAATGTTACATTTGACCTTTGACCTTACGTTTGCATTTCGCATCTATCTTTTCTTTCAAAATGTTATATCTTTGAAGAAAGCATTGTCGAGTGAAAGAGAATGAGCTGTCTAGATACAGAAATACCGTAGTATATCAGAATCAGAATCAGAATCAGCATCAGAATACTTTATTAATCCCTGGGGGAAATTATTTTTTGTTACATCATATAATATAATAAATATCATATAATCGGCTAAAGTTATTCATCTCCTGTTATCTATGAATCGCCCCAGGGTGGCTGTGGCTACAATGTAGCTTGCCATCACCAGTGTATGAATGTGTGTGTGAATGAGTGCATGACTGGATATGTAAAGCGCTTTGGGGTCCTTAGGGACTAGTAAAAAAGCGCTATATAAATACAGGCCATTTACCATTTACCAATCAATCTCTATTACACATTACCTACTCCTACATAATGTTTACAAAATACAATGTGATTCCCTTTAAAGGTAAATACTACCCAGAGAAGGAGCTGCCTTGGTGGAGGTGTGCGCTCTCAATGCTGTTTGTTGTTGTTAAGCCGTGTGACAGCTCACACTTCTACCTGCTCACATTATGTTGGTAAAAAGAGCCAAAAGGCTGGACATAATGTCAGGGTTGAAATGCAGCCTGTTAATAACAAAAGTGTGGGGCTCAGTTTACTTCACTTTTAAGTACCGTTGATAAACCAATAGAAATTTTGCATTTTCAAAGTTTCACTGCTCCATTTACAGCAATATGTTCTCATTTGCCCGTGGAACAAATCGTTAGGTCCTTTGATCTCAGCGTGATGGTTGTTATTGAGGGTTATGGCACTGTCGATATTTTTAACGCTGCTGCGCTTGTATGTGTGAATGTTTGTGCGTAAGCCTTTCAGAGGTTTTTGGGAAAGAAGGATGTTTCCCAGGAGCTGGAAGAGGTCCACATGGAGGCTCGAGCTCAGGACAAACTACACACCGTCTCTGTGTTACAGCTGCTGAAGAGCCCAGCTGTTCGCTGGCAGCTCATAACTGTCATCATCACCATGGCCTGCTATCAGCTCTGTGGCCTCAATGCAGTAAGTTTTTGATTTAACTTACCTTTCTCAGGTTTTGAGTGGAATCAGCTCCCTTTATGCTATTTCACAGTGCATTTGACTGTATTTATAGATCATTTATTATTTATTTAAATAGATTCAGATGCACCAAATCAATAATGCAAGCTCTGTGTAAATATTTCATTATAAGGACCCCACCCCAACACCATTCTGAAAGCAAACATTTAATATATCTTTAAAGATGATCTGGCACTCTGAGAGTTACACCTAGACCTTGTTAATAAGTTTGGAGCCTTGGTCCTTCCCCAGGCAGGAAGGTGATAAGTGTTACCTCTTCTACTGGAGAGACTCCAACAGGAGAACTTGTCATTCTGCTCTATTCTGGCACTCTGGAGTACATTCCCAGTCGATTATGCTGTTTTCTGATTTTTCTGATTTCGGCTTGGGCTAGAGAATATTGCAGTAAACACTGATGACGAATTAAAGACAAAAAAAAGGAACAGAAAACGCACGAGTAAAGTGTTCGACCACCAATTGCCGCATGAGAAAAAGGCTTCGTGATTTCTATTTGAGGGATGGAACTGCTTTCTTTAAGTGACATACTGCCTCACGAGGGCTTTTGATCACATTGGAGAAAGTTCTGTTTAACACATCAGTCCAAAAATGGGTCAGTGTCATCTTGGAAGAGATGACCCACCCATCAGGGTAGAATAAAAGACAATCAATCACAACTTTGTACTGATTTGCCCTACATTCCTAGCGTGCAAGGCGACAACGCGACCAAAGTGTACCAGTAAAATTTTGTTACCTTACCTTGTTATTTAACCCTTATGTGTGTCTGGTTTGGTAACAACTCCACCACTTAACCCACTGAGGTCTGTGCCTGTGCTTTCACAAGTGTGATCCTTGTATGTTTCATCACTTTTGAAGTCAAGTATTTTTTTTCTTTTTTAAATCAAGTTTTAAATCTGTCCTTTGCTTAATTACATAGTTCTTGAACTGCATTTTGTTATAAAAGTTTAAAGAGAAGGTTCAAGTGTAAATACAGAAAAAAACAAGAGCGCTTGTGCACCGTTAACCTAATTAAAGTGACTCTAGGTTTATGTACAGCGCTGTGCAGGAGACCCAGTGGCTGTGGAGAATCGCTGTGAGTCACTATATTTTGTGCACTTTGTTCAGACTAAGATGCTTAGCTATCCTTCACCTGCTGTGCTGCACTGCACTCGAGTGTCAATGATTGGTATGTCTCTGAGCTGGCTTTATAAATGCCAAGAATAGTCCTTCACCTGGAGGAAAGTTGCTGCTAATTACAGCAGACTGAGAAAAACTTACTTTAAAATTGACTTCAGACTCCCAACTCTTGAGTCACGATCGCTCAAGAGTTGGGAGTCTGAAGTCAGTTGCGTTACTATTTTTCAACAGACGGTTGAAGCTGTGTTCAGCTTCCTGCAGCTTATATCGGGCTGATTGTGGCTCAAGAGTTGGGAGTTCGCCTTGTAATCAGAAGGTTACCGGTTCGAGCCCCAGCTTGGACAGTCTCGGTCGTTGTGTCCTTGTGCAAGACACTTCACCCGTTGCCTACTGGTGGTGGTTAGAGGGCCCGGTGGCGCCAATGTCCGGCAGCCTCGCCTCTGTCAGTGCGCCCCAGGGTGGCTGTGGCTACAATGTAGCTTGCCATCACCAGTGTGTGAATGTGTGTGTGAATGTGTGGATGACTGGATGTGTAAAGCGCTTTGGGGTCCTTAGGGACTAGTAAAGCGCTATATAAATACAGGCCATTTACCATTCACACACACATTCACACACAAATGCAAAAACACTGGCAGTTTTTAAAACTCTAGATTGTATTTTCTCACTTTGCTTCCGTTTGTTCGCACTTCTGTAAAACACGTTCAAAGGTTTTAATGTCTTTCTTTGTGTTTTTAACAATATTAGTGCAGGTGTTAAGCTTGTTGCATTTTAATGTCAATTCATCTCATTCTAAATGTGATGAGAATGTAGGCCAACTTTAGTGACATTGTTAAAATTTGTGTGTCAGCTCTGAAGCGAACAGGATTGCTGAGTTTTGTGTAAAGATATATATAAATGAGTATGTTGTTGTGAAAACCAAGACCAATGGTACTTTTTAATTTTTTTAGATCTGGTATTATACCAATGGGATTCTTCGTGAAGCAGGCTTTACTGAGAGCATACTTCCCTACATCACACTGAGCACAGGTGCCATAGAGACTCTGGCTGCCATCATCTCAGTAAGTATGGCTATTTGATTTATTACTGTAAGTCAGCAACAGCTTTCAGGTTTACTGTCAAGTACTAGGAGTTCAAAAATGAAAAACAAGCACAGACAGGCAAAAAAAAGCTGAGTGGTCAATATAACAACCAAAAAGAAGAAGAAATAACTCACATGGAAGAGAACAACAAAAGGTGCTGCAGAGAACAAAGAGAAAGTCCTGTTAACCCTCTCAAGGCAGGCGTTGCCGATTTGCAACAGTTCAAAACTAACAACCTGCTTACCCCACATACATATTTTATGAGTGTTTTTTACTCAGAAGTACCACTGCAGGACTTGGTTGTGTGGAATAGCAACAAAAAGTTTAATTTGAGCCTGAGAGGGTTAAAAATGATAGAGAATCCAAAAAGAAACCAAAACTCTGGCAGCAATGACCTGGGACCTGAAGTTAGTCAACATACAAACTGAGGGAGGGGACGAGACTCTGCGCACACACACAGGACTAATGAGGTGCAGGTGGAACCAATTAGGAAGAGCAGACAATTATAAAAGCACACGAAGGCAGATAAGATATTCTTGCAAACTGGAAAACCAAGAGTAATGAAAATTCAAACCCTTATCTAAGCCAGACACCATGACCCAGAAGGCCCCTCTGCTAATGAAAAGTCACAAGGCACATTTTCTGTTTGATTGTATGCTTTGGTATGTTTGACAATTCTAGGTTTACACGGGTATGTTCTATGTGAGAGAGGTTTGCTTTTATTTTGTTAGCAGTGGATGATGCTTTTTGTTGTAATTTACATTCCTGCACATGCATACACACTCTGACCGGCCACTTTTTTAGGTGCAGGGTTCAGTGTATTGTGCATTCAGAGATCCTGTACTGCATAGCTGGGCTGTGACAGGTGGTTGGTTGTTTGACTTACAGTTGCTTTGCTGTCAGGTCACCACAGGCCGGCCATGCTCCTCTGACCTCTGGCATCAATAAGACATTTTTAACCAGAGAACTGAGGTGCACTGGATATTTTTCTCTTGGAAATTCTCAGTAGGTCTGCAGCTTCTGTCTGGCACAAACAACCATACCACATTCCAAGTTACTTAAATCACCTTTCTTCTCCATTCTGATGCTGAGTTTGAATTTCAGCAAGTCGATGTCTTGATGCCATTGATACCATTTACATGGCTAAATGCAATGAGCTGCTGCCATGTGACTGGCTGATTAGGTATTATTGAGCAGTAAAACAGGTGTATGTTATAAAGTGTGTGTGTGTATTTGTGTAAAGTCAGTTCTATACAAGTGTATTAAACAACTACTAAATATTGTCATATTTATTGATTAAATATGACTCGTGATCTCCGTGGATGAAATCTGGGTAGTCTCCGAGCATGAAGTAAGGAGAGCCTTCAAGAGAGTGAACACCAGGAAAGCAGCAGGACCAGACGGCATCCCAGGTCGTATCCTCAGAGACTGCGCATACCAGCTAGCTCCTGTGTTCACTGAGATATTCAACATCTCTCTATCTCAGTCGGTGATCCCCACATGCTTCAAAGAGTCCATCATTGTTCCTGTCCCGAAGAAACCCCACCCTGCTTCTCTCAATGACTATCGCCCTGTAGCCCTCACCTCAGTAGTGATGAAGTGCTTTGAACGCCTGGTCAGAGACTTCATCATTTCTTCACTACCAGACACACTGGACCCACTACAGTTTGCTTACCGTCCAAATCGTTCCACAGACGATGCCATCTCTCATCTCCTCCACACATCACTCACTCACTTGGACACTAGAAGGGGGAATTATGTTAAAATGCTCTTCATAGACTACAGCTCTGCATTTAACACCATAATTCCCTCCACACTCACCACCAAGCTGGAGCATCTGGGACTCAGCTCATCTATGTGTCTGTGGATCTCCAACTTCCTAACTGGCAGACCACAGGCAGTAAGGATGAGCGGACATGTCTCAGCCTCCACCACTCTCAGCACTGGAGCCCCCCAGGGGTGTGTTCTGAGCCCCTTGCTGTACTCTTTGTACACATATGACTGTGTGGCCACTACCAGCTCCACCACCATCATCAAGTTTGCTGACAACACCGTCGTGGTGGGCCTGATCTCTGATAACAACGAGACGGCCTACCTGAAGGAGATTAGGAATCTGGAGAACTGGTGCCAGAGGAACAACCTCCTTCTAAACGTCAGTAAGACAAAGGAGCTGATAGTGGACTTCAGCACTAAGCAGGAGAGGAACTACCAGACCCCTGTCATCAACGAGTACCCAGTGGAGAGAGTGGACAGCTTCAAATACCTCGGAGTTCACATCACGCAGGACCTGTCATGGTCCTGTCACATCAACACTGTGGTGAAAAAGGCCCGACAGCGTCTCTACCACCTCAGACGCTTGAGAGACTTCCAACTGCCCTCCAAGGTGCTCAGGAACTTTTACTCCTGCACCATAGAGAGCATCCTGGCGGGAAACATCTTAACCTGGTTCGGGAACAGCACCATGCAGGACAGACGAGCTCTACAGAGGGTTGTGCGGTCAGCTGAGCGCACCATCCGCTCCGAGCTCCCTGACCTGCACTCAATCTACAGCAGGCGGTGCTGGACCAAGGCCAGGAAGATCGTGAAGGACCTCAGCCATCCCAACAATGGACTGTTCTCTCTGTTGAGGTCAGGAAAGCGATTCCGCTCCCTGAAGACCAACACAGAGAGACTGAGGAGGAGCTTCTTCCCGCAGGCGATACGGTCTCTCAATCACACCACCACACAGTACTGACCCACACATACAGTTCTTACACACACTGGACATTCTGGACATTGTTTTCACTTCATTACATAAATCACGCTGCTGTTATTGTGTATATATTTATTTATATTTCTTCATACATTCTTATATAGTTCTATATTGTGTATTTTGTTGTACAGTTATTTTATTTTCAACTTTAATTTATATATTTTATCTTATTCTCCCAGTTAAATTTACCCTTCATTCTAATTTGTGTTGTACAGTTATTTCATTTTTAACCTTAATTTATATTTTATTCCTTCCTAGTTAAATTTACCCTTTTTAATTTTTCATATTTATTTCCTATCTTATTCATAGCCTTTTCCTTTTTTGTTTTCTTTAGGTCACGAGCAGTTGTCCAAGCATTTCACTACATATCGTACTGTGTATGACTGTGTACGTGACAAATAAAATTTGAATTTGAATTTGAATTTGAATTTTTAACCCAATCAACCCAATCCTTTATTGTTACTATGTTAGCATATTCTAACATATTAGCAGCTCAGCTGTACTTGGATTGCTCTCAGCCATGTCATTTCACTTGACATGCTTTTTAGTATTACTTCCTCTGGCAGTAAATCACTTTATAAATGATGGAGCAGGGAGCACTTTGTTTGGGAAACGGCTTAATGAAGTAGTTAGTTTGTTGGAGCATCTCTCCTGGCAGCTTGTGGGCGAAGTTGTTAGTATTTGACATCATGTGATGATTTACTTGCAATAGTAACTTTGCATAATCACAGTTATGATCACAAAAAGACATAAAACCCACTAATAAGACCATCTTACAGATATTCCACTGGAGACATGTTTCAGTCAGCAGCAAATGTTAGCGTAAAGCAGCATCAGTATACAGACATTATATTTTCAGGTTGTATGTCTGTCCCACACTGGAGGATTTACTAATTAGATTTTGGAGGTCAACAGTCAAAGCCACAGACACTTGTCAAAAACTCTAAACTTCAAAAAACTATTACGGTAAAACGTCTCAGAAATGTCAAATAGGATACAATTATATTTTATGTAAGAATATTATTCACAACTTTGAGATACATATTTTCCAGAGAAGACAGAGCAGCGTTTGATGTATTGGACTTACGTTTGCCTCCTTGGTTCCCATGATAACTAACATAACTACTTGGATGAAAATCCTCTACAGTCAGTAACTGCCTGAAGTAAAAGGCTCTACCAGGTCTTTGATGCATCTCCCTTCAGTTTCTGCTTATTTGTGGCTCGCTCTTCTTTCACATTTGTCTTCAGTAGCTGAAAATGATGCTCTATTGGGATGAGATCACGTGACTGACTTGGCCATTAGCAATATCCCATTTCTTTGCTTTGAGAATGTCTTGGGTTGCTTTTGCAGTATGCTTTGGCTCATTTGCACTGAGAAGCATTATTGATCAGTTATGGAGCTTTTGATATTTGTTTTGCTGTTTTTAGAAATAATGAGGTCATCATGCACTTCATTTGTCATCTTTGGTCTCTCAGACCTTTTTTATGGTGCTGAGCCGGCCAGTGCATTCGTTCTTTTTAAGAACATACAGATTGTTGAATTAGCCACTCCTAAAGTTTTTGCTCTCTGATGGTTTATTTATTTTTTCAGCCAAATGATGGCCTCCCTCGCTTGCACTTTGCATCTTTTTGGACCTCATATTTAATGCGTTGAATCAACTTCTGATATGTCTGCTTCCATTGTCATGAAATCGGAAGGGAAAAGGTTTCACCTGGCCATGAAACTGCTTGTGCATCAGCCATCCTATTCGTTTTAACCTTCTGAAAATGGTGACTTTGTATAAAAGCCAATATAACATTCAATGTAAAATTTTTCTAACCCTTGAATGAAAGCTGAAGGTCTGCACTTCAATCAGATCTTGTTTGTTTGATTTAAAATCCACTGTGATGGTGTGCAGAGGCAAAATTACAAAATGTGTCACTGTCCAACAGTTTAGGGACCAATCAGTAAAACTATTTTGCTGCAGTAGCAGTGATTCATGATTATGAAGGTACGCTATCGATCGAGATAGCGTAACCATGTGTTACCCAATTCACACACAAAGCACAATGACAGGGTAAAAATATTTGATTTTTTTATGACTGATACTAGAGCTGTATTACTGTCTCCTGAACAGTAGGAGCTGATCTACAGAGCAATACTCTCAGCTTCCCAGTGCAGGGTCCTGTTCTCACCTATGATCAGTCAGTCTTCTGGCCAGTAACCAAAGGTTATAAAGTTGGCCCA